AAAAAAAAAAAAAGTCAGCCACAAAAGGACACACGGCAAGATTTTGTTCAAGTACGTTCAAAACCCAAGTCTACAGAACGTGAATGTGCCCACTGACACAACCATGAGGAAAGGTAAAGGAAGAGGTGTGACAGGGGCTGGGGATTTAGCTCAGCCGCACAGCACCTGCCTGGCAAGTGCGAGGTCGTGAGTTTGATTCCCGGTACTGGTAAAAAAACCAAATAAACTTAAAAAAAAAAAAAGGAAGAGGTGTGCAAAGATGACAGTGCAGTTTGTTCTCTCTGAGGGTGGGACGGGGTAGGTCCTCAGGGTCGGGCAGTACCCCAGTTCTTGCCCCGTAGGGTTAGGACTTCGGTTTTTCAATCTCTTTGTTGAACGATATACACAAAAAAATGTGCAAGTCAATAGTTTGTTGTTGTGGTGTTTTTTTTTTTTTGTCTTTTTGAGACAGGGTCTCCCTGTGTAGTTCAGGCTGGCCTTGAGCTCACTTTGTAGCCCAGGCTGGTCTCGAACTCTCAACAATCCTCCTGCCTCAGCCTCCTGAGTGCTGGTACGCCACCATGCCCAGCCATGCACAAGTCAATAGATATTCCTCTTTTCCTCCCCTGGTGGTGCCAGGGATGGAACCCAGGACCTCACACATGCTAGGCAAGCATGCTACCCTTGAGCTACATCCCAGCCCTCAGTGGATATTCCTAAACCAAACACACTCTCGGTACTGGATACCAGTACCCAGATCAAGAAATAAAACATTTCCGCCAGGTGTGGTGGCACAGGCCTGTGATCTCAGCACTCAGGAGGCTGAGGCAGGAGGACTGCCTTGAATTCAAGGCCAGTCTGAGCTATACAATGAGTTAGTTCACGGGCAGCCTGAACTACATGGCGAGACCCTGTTTCAAACAACAAAAACAAAACAAATCTCAACAGTATTTGCTGATCATACATGCAGCAAAACCTCCAACCCCAGGAGGCAGTAATATTATTTCCATTTCACGGGTGAGTAAAGCAAGGCTCCAAGAGGCCAGGCAGGAGATCTGCCAGACTTCACAACCCAAGTTCTTCAGGGCTAAACTTCGAAGTCAGGAGGCCCAGGCCGGAGGAAGAGGCAGACAGCTCGAGCAGGGCCCAGCCCGCCCCCAGCTTCGTCAGAGCACAGCTGCTCCTGCCAGTGCCGCCTCCCTCCCCTGCCCCTCCCCCTCCTACCCCGTGTGTCAGAGGGCACCAGGAAGAGGGGACCATGCAGGGAAGGCCAGACTCACCCATAGTCACTGAGACCATCGTCTCCCTGGCCTTGACCTTGCTCCTGGGAGCCTGGAAAAGAGGACGAGGGAAGAGGCCCCATGAGCGGCGGCTGCCGCCGCTGTCCCTCTGTGCTGTCTGCCTATCTGCCTGCCAGGGGAGCATTCCTGTGTGAGGGGCTCACAGCCCAGGAATAGCTGAGCAGCTGGCAGGACATCAGCTGGGGACAGAGCTGCCACCACAGCCATTGCTCCTGCCTGGGGTGAGGCCCAGGGACAGTAAATATTCACAGTTCCAATCCTACCCACCCCAAAAAGTCTGGCCGAACAGAAAAGGCACCTCCCGTCCAAGAGTCCCCCACATCCATCCATTCATTCATTCATTCATTCATTCAGACACTATTTACTGAGAACCGCTATGTGTGAGGAACTTAGGGATCCTGAGGGGAGCAAAAACATGGACCTAGCATGCAACTGGGCATAGGGCAGGGCAGACTGACAGTAACACGCAAAACAATTCACAGTTCAGAAGCCATCCGGTTGCGGTAAGAACATGAGGAGCCTGGGTAGGGAGGAGTGCAATTTCCAACAGGGTGATCAGAGAACAGCTAAAGGGACAGGTAGAAGCCAGGCATGGTGCAGCCTCCCACCACTCTAGGAGGCTGACACAGGAGTCACCAGTTCAAACCCTGTGTGAGCAACTTAGAAACTTGGTAAGATCCTGCCTCAAAATTAAAAAAGGGCTGAAATGTAGCTCAGCGTGAAGGTCCTGGGTTCAATTCCTGCAAGAAAGAAAAGGGCGAAGTGGTGTGTGGAGACCAGAAGGAGGGGAAGCAGCAAGAGAGCAGAGGTTTAACAGAGGAAGGGCAGCCCAGAGAAGGCTGGAGCGCTGCCCCCCCAATGCTGGAAGAACCGTGTGTCGGAGGGACAGGGTGTTTGAGGTGCAGCCACAGCACAGCAAACAAGGAGAAGAGTGGGAGCAGGTGTGCTAGGGCAGTGCAGCACCTTATCAGGAGGGACTCCAGAGAAGAAAGGGAGAAACCCATTTTCACTTAGAAGAGAGGATCTTACAATGGGGCTGACGACAAATTCGCACCAATGGAGACATTCTCTGAATATGAACAGCAGTGTTAAAAAAGAACTAAAGGAAGCCAGGTGTGGTGGCGCTTAGGAGGGAGGCTGAGGCAGGTGGATCGCCGTATGTTCCAGGCCAGCCTGGGTTACACAGTGAGTTCAAGCCCAGCCTCTACTATATAGAAGACTCTCAAAAAACAAAACAGGGCCGGGGATATAGCTCAGCAGCACAAGCGCTTGCCTGGCAAGCGCAAGGTTCTGGGTTCGATTTCCGGTACCAAAATAAATAAATAAATAAAACAAAAGAACTTATTTTTCTGGGGGGTACCAGGAATCAAACTCAAGTGCTTGGCAGGCAGGCGCTTGTGTCGCTGAGCTATATCCGCAGCCCACAAAACAAAAGAACTAAAGGAAAGGGATTTCATATTGAAAACCAGGTTAAATAACCCTAAGTTATTGAAGGCTCATCAGGCCCGCAATCTCCCAAGCGAGTGCACGGCAAAGGCTTAAATAAATGAGACAATGGAAATGGTTTTAGGGCTCCAAGAGGGACTAACTCTCTTACAGCTTCAGTATTCTCTGAGTTTAGCCAAAGACTTCTCTGGGTGGCCAGTATTTATTTGGTTTTCAAACAAAGGAGGAGGATACTCAAGAAAATACAGGACTCTTGCAGGACCTTGGGAGAATTTTCCCAAGTAGTAAACTATGTCAATCAGGAGAACTACCTTATCTTTAGGTTGGTATTTATTGTAGGAGTGTGGAGCCTGCAGCTGCTCTCCTTGTAGTAATTGGGGCTGGAGCCAAACGTCTTCAGCTGTGGCCTTATCGTGTCAGACAAGGTGCCTAAGCTTCAGACAGCTCACCAGTAACATGGAAAGCCAATTGGTTAATATTAAACCCTGCTCTGAGCCACTTTGTAGCGGTCCCCAACAATTTCACATAGGATGATACAAACTGTCTGCTCCAAGACCACCTGGCCACACCACCCTGACCCAAACTTCCTCTCTTCTCCCTCCACTCTGTTCCCTTTTACCCAGCCCAGCCCCAAGGCCACTCCTTCTCCCTCACCCAGGCCCCCAACCCAGGGTGCAGAAGGCCCTGGACTGAAGCACCGTTTTGAGGCCCACCCCACACAGCCTGCCCCACTTCTTAACCCATTTTGATGGTAAAACCGAGAGTGCAGCCTTGGCAAGTTACGCCACCAGCTGGACCTCGGTGCCCCCATCTCTGAATCAGGATAATGCAAACATCACTCACCTCGGCGGACAGCTGTGAGGGTGCGCGCATTCTATGGGGAAGACACTTGAGACTGTGTGGTGCACACTATCGAGATTGAACAGCAGCCCCTAACCTCACTGCCTGGCCCAGCGCTCCCTCTCTACCAGGTTCTCTGCCTGCCTCCCAGTGTTTCGTTTCGTTGTGTTTTCTGAGACAGGCTCTACCGGTAGCTATGTTGCCCAAGCTGGCCTCAAACTCCTGGGCTCAAGAGATCCTCCTGCCTCAGTCTCCCAAGCTGCTGGGACTCCAAGGGCATAGCACTGCACCCAGCCTGCCTCCCAGTTTCGACTCAGGATACCTGGAATGCCTATGTCCTACTGTCCTCCAGGCAAGCTCTCTTTTCTCTGCTTGTCTGTCACCTGCTTTGTGATGCTATCTCCAAGTCCCACTCCGAGCCTCTCTCCGTGACCCTCGGTTGTGTTTCTCTTGTCTTTATCTGGCTTCTCATGAATCCCTGAATGATATGTGCCACCACACACATCGCTCACCCTGCTCACACTCTACGGTCCACTTTCCCTTCTGGATTTATCTGCGGGACAAACACAACACGGCAGGCATCTCTCAAAGAACAGGGCGCTGGTGTGGTGGCGCACACCTGTAATCGCAGCACTCGGGAAGCTGAGACAGGAAGACTGTTGGGAGTTTGAGACCAGCCTGGGTTACAAAGTGAGCTCAAGGCCAGCCCAAACTGCATAGTGAGACCCTGTCTCAAAAAGACAAAAGAACAACAACAGAAAAAACAAAGAACAGGGCACGGAGAGGGCTTTAAAAGGCAGACAGAACAACTCACATTCCAAGCACTAACTGCGCCAGGCCCACAGCCAAATGCCAGGGTGATGTCTGACAACAGACTCGTGAGGGATGACTATTATTAGCCCTATTTTAATCAATAAAAACCTGACCCAGTGAGTAACCGTCATTAGTCAAATGTCACATCTAGCAACTGACCTTACTAGGATTCAAAAACAAGTTCTCCTTGATTCCGACGCCCATGGAGTTGCTCCTTTTGAGTGTTTACAACATGTCAGGAGCTAAGCATACATACATCTCATTCTCAGAGCCAGCCTGGGGAAAAAAAAGTAAAAATGAGAAAAAAAAAAGTTAAAAAACAAATGAGAGTGCCAGGTCCAAGGTCACCAAGCAAGTAACAGCAGGGCCAGGGCTTGAACTCAATCAGCCCAACAGCTATGGTTGATGCTGATTTCGGGATTACTGTGAACCAGGCACTGCAGTCTGTAATTGAAAGGTCTCATTTAATGCTTACCAGAATCTTTTAAGCGCTGATATTCTTCCCCTGCTGTTGCGGAATTCTTACTGTCCTCAATTTCTTCTATCATCTCTCTTTGTTGAGATGAGTTTCCCTATGTAATTCAAACCGGCCTTGAACTTGTGGTGATCCTCCTGCCTCAGCCTACCAAGTGCAGAATTATAGGTGTGGGACACCACGCCGGACTCTTCTCTCTACCACCTTAAAAGCCCATCTCCAGAGGTAACTTTACAAAGTTGAAATTAATAAAATAGTAATTTTAAAATGGTAGCTACCAGTGACACGTACCTGTGATAAAAGTTTGAGCCCAGCCCGACCAACTAAATAACTTAGTGAGATCCTATCTCAAAATTTAAAACAATAGCCAGATATGGTGGCGCACACCTGTCATCCCAGCACTCGGGAGGCTGAGGCAGGAGGATCGTTGCAAATTCGAGACCAGCCTGGGCTACAAAGTGAGCTCAAGGCCAGCCTGAACTGCATAGCAAGACCCTGTCTCAAAAAAGACAAAATAAATAAATAAATAAGGGCGGGGCATGGTAGCACACATCTGTAACCCCAGCACTTGGAAGGCTCAGACAAGAGGATCACTCTAAGTTCCAGGCCATCTTGGGCTACCTTGTGAGTTCAAGGCCCACCTAAACTGAATAATGAGACCCTGTTTCCAAAACCAAAAACAAAAAAAAGAAAAACAGTAACTCCCTCTCATTTCAAACATAGTTATCTGTCCCATCATTCTGAAGCAGTTGTGTAAAATTCCTCTTTCATATCTTTATGAGATATGAGAGGTGATCAAAAATACAGTGAACGCTGCCAAGTGCCAGCCAGTGGAAAAGCAGGCTTGTAAAAACACTGATGTGCTGGGCATGGTGGCACATGCCTGTCATCCCAGCACTTTGGAGGCTGAGGCAGGAGGATCGCTGTGAGTTCAAGAGCAGCATGGACTATAATAGCAAGACCCTATCTCAAAACAAAAACACTGTGATGTGTCTTACAGATCCTTATTCACTGGATCTGGCACCGTGGGACTTCTGGCTCTTCCACAAAGTCAAGATGACCATGAAAGAGAAACATTTTGAATCGATTCAGGATATCGAAGCAGCCACAACAGGACAACTTGAAGACACACATGAAAAAGGACTTTCAGAATTGCTTCCAAGAGTGGCAAGAATCATGAGATAAATGTATTTGAATCAAGAGGGAGGGTATTAAGGTGGATTAATGGCAATATTGCTTTAACTACAATAATTTTTAAATTTTTCTTCTCTTTTTCTGAGACAAGGTCTCACTAGGTAGCCCAGGATGGCCTCTAACTCGCAGCAATCTTCCTGCCTCAGCCTTCTGAGTGCTCAGATTTCAGGCATGTGCCATCACAACTGGCAATTTTTTTTTTTTTTTTTTTTTTGGTACCAGGAATGGAACCCAGGGTCTCATGCTTGTCAGGCAGGTGCTGTACGGCTAAGCTAAATCCACAGTCCAATTTTTTAAAAGTTCAACACACACTATATTTTTCGATCTTATGCCATATACTTTGTTATCCCTTTTCCAATCAGCTTTCATTACTGTTTACAATTTATAGACTCTTGTTGCCGTTGTGTTTTGCTTAAGTTTTCCTTCTCAAGCGAAACAGTATTAATTTTCCTTTAAGATAGCAATGTGAAATCCCAGCACTCAGGAGGCTGAGGCAGGAGGATCATTGCGAGTTTGAGGCCAGTCTGGGCTACAAAGTGAGTTCAAGACCAGCCTGAACTGCATAGCAAGACCCTGTCTCAAAAAGACCAAAAAAAAAAAAAAAAAAGATAGCAATGTGAATCTTCCCACCCGCATGAACGGAGGAAACTTTGGCAGTGATTTTCAAAAAAAGTAAAAAATGATATTACAAGATTCGGCAAAACCCGGCCAAACAGTAAGTGGCAGGATGTCGATTCCCCGCGCCGAGGTTCTGGTTTTCATATTGTTGTTCCTGAGCTTTCGCCCTTCTGTACTTTCCTGGAGTTGCTGGCTACACTAATAACTCTCGGAGTCGTTATCATTTTAGTTCCAATCTGTTGAGCTCTTTCTCTGCTACAGCCTCTACATGTGCGTTGCATCAGAATCCATTCATCGAACCTATGAGCCCTGTGAAGAGGGAACTGAGACCCAGAGAGGTGAAGGCACAGACCCACCGCCGCACAGTGCAGCTGGGATTTGAACCCAAAGCCGCTGGCCTCCAAGCCCAACAATCTCACTCCCGGTGCAATCATCAGTGCTAACAATAATGGTACAGAAACGAGGGGAGCATTAGGTGAAGGCTCTGAGCTAGGGGCCGAGACGTGCACTTCTCATTCAACCCATAAAGCCCATACACAGTCGAATCCTGACCCCCATTCTACAGAGGAGGAAACTGAGGCTCAGAGAAAGAAATCGCTTGTCTATATCCCCAGAGCGAAGCTCGGACTGTGTAACTCTAGAGCCTCGGACACCACCCATCCCCACCGCATCCGGCCCAGACCACCACCTCCAGCCCGAGCCTCACCTGGCCCAACGAGCCCGCGCCCATTTGCGCCTCCCTCCCACCCTCCCGGCGGCGCCAACTGTCAGTCACTCCTCCCTCGACCCGGCCCCCGCCCCGGAAGCTCAGTCTCACTGCCGGAAGTCGGGCGAACCGGCCCTCGGCCGCTCTAGCCCACCAGGCTGTCCCCAGCGAGAGTGCGACGGCGAGTCACGTGATCATGCTAGATCTCGATCTCTCTGTTTCTCCGCTAGACACTTTCCTCCGCCCAGCGGGGGCGGGAAGCACGGCCAATGAGAAAGGCGCAGGCCGGCCCCACCCCCGCCCGCAATCGAGCTGGAGTGCGCCTGCGCGCAGGTGGGGCAGGGAAGGCGGGGCTTGAGCTCTGGAGGTCAGTGCGGGGCCGGTCCCGAAGATCAAGACGTGGAGTGCAGGTACTGTGCTCCGCGCCTCGTCTGCACTCCCTGTGTTTTTACTCTCTTGTCCCCGTGCGTCCGCTTCTTTTGTCGCCCTTGGTCCATTTATGTTGCTCTTTCCTCCTCTTAAGTCGTATCCCGCTTAACCCGTCAGCACCCACTTCTGTTGCCAAAACCCTGCTTATGTCGCCATCAGCTCCTTAAAATCGCTTTGGTTCCCAGTAAACCCTCACTGCCACCAGATGTGCAATCTCCCCTCTTCAGGTCGTCACCGACTTATGTCACTCCCCTTCGTCTTTGTTGCCTTTTCTCCTTCATGAAACCTTCACTGCTAAATCGTCTTCATTCCCGTCTTCGCACACCGATCACCTCTTCTCCCCTTAGATCGCGCTCACACTCCCCATTTGTCATTCTTGCCCGTACATCTCCCTCGCTCCCCTGTCACCATCGCTCTTCGGACAGTCACCGTCCCTCTGTGTCTCAAGCCCACGTTTTCCCTGTGAGGAGCCATGCAGCCTTCCAGAGGTTTTTCTCCCCTCAGATCGCCGTGCCTTCCCAGGTCAGGTGTCACATACGCCCGCTGAGCAGGTGCTAGAGCCCATTCGCGGGCGGTGCCAGCGTCCAGCGCCACCTGTAAACCACTGGGTAACCTTGGCCACCTGAGGAAGCCTCTCCCCTCCCAGCTTCCTCATCCGTAAAACGCACGCGAGAACACCTATGTCTGGGATGAGTGTGAAGGTCCTGCTAATTTATTCCCGTCACATGCTGAGCTTGACTTGGCATTCGGGGCTAATATTGTTATTAAGCATCTCACCCTCACCCTCATCCAATCACCTTCATCGATCACCTCCTCGCCATGGCTACCCAGCCCGCACCTGCACTCATCAGTCCCCTGGCCTCACACACTCCATGTTGGCGCAACACTCTCTGCCAGGTTGCCAGCACCTCTGCCAGTAGTCACACCTTAGTGATCTATTGGCCGTCATGAAGCTAGCTGTAAACACTCAGTCCCTCTTTATCATGCTGGATTGAGACGCACCCCCTCACACCCCCTAAACAAGACGTATGCAGTGTGGGAGTCAAGGAGAGCTTGGAAGGGGCGGCCATAGGTGATTTAGACTCGGATCTTCGTGGACTTCCAGAATTGGGGGTACCGAGAGAGGAAGCAGGGCCCCGATTCTTCAGACCTCAGCAGTCTCAGTCCCCAGGTGGAGAGATATCTTATTCATTCAGCTTTTTTGAGGCAGCGTGGAACAGTGGTTAATGATGTGTGCCTCGAGACTGGAACACTCTAGTTCCAGTGTTGGTTCTTAGTACTTAAAGATCTGCATGACCTTGTGCATATGGCCTTACCTCTCTGTGCCTCACTTAGCACATCCACAGCATGGGGATGAAAACACAAGTTATTCATTCAACACATATTTCTTTTTTTTTTTTTTTTTTTTGGTTTTGGTTTTTCTCCGGTACCGGGAACCGAACTCACGACCTTGCGCTTGCCAGGCAGGCGCTTTTGCCGCTGAGCTAAATCCCCAGCCCCTCAACACATATTTCTTAAGCATGTACTAATGTGGCCCACACTGTACTAGGCACTGGGGACAAATCAATGAACAAAACAAAAATCCCTGCTCTCATAGGGTTCACATTCTAGTGGGGGTAAGAGACAGTGAATAAACATTGTACATAGGTAAGTAGATTATCTGGTGTGTTAGAAGGGGGATGCATAATGCATCAAGATCGTTTCTGGCACTGGGCGTTGAAGGCCGTGCCTTGCTCGTGCTAAGCAAGCGTTCTCCAACTAAGCTGCACTTCTAGCCTGCAGTTTTAAGGGGAGTCAAGGAAAGTTTTCTGAGAAGGTGACAACTGAACAAAGACTTGCAGGAGAAGAAAGGGTGGCATGGCTATCTGAGGGAAGGGCATTGTAGGCAGAGAAAACAAACTCAGAGGTCCGGAGCTGGCACGTGCTTGGAATATTTATTTAATGACTAGCAAGGAAGCTCGTAGGAGGAGACACAGGGTCTCATGAGCTATGGGGAAGACGGGCTTTTCCTCTGAGTGAGGAGGGAGCCACAGGAGGATTTGGAGCAGAAGAGAGATGGAATCCAGTGTGACATGAAGCCATCATGCCAAGCGGCAGCAGCTCCGGAACTTGTACCCAGGATCGATGGGCACATGGCAGCCTTATTGGAAAGAGAGGCAGAGTCCTCTAAAAGCTGCACGCCTATATCCTTTGCATTTGGACAGTGCTTCACATAGCTCCAGAAGATTTGGAGGGATAGGGTGTTGCTGGGGTTTGGTTTTGTTTTATTTTGGTTTGTCATCTTGAGAGAGAGTCTCACTATGCAGTTTAGGCTGGCCTTGAGTTCACTTTGTGGCCCAAGCTGATCTCGAACTCACAACAATCCTCCTGCCTCAGCCTCCCCTCGAGTGCTGG